TCCACCCACCCACCTATGTATCTGTCTGTCTATCATCTCTCATTCTATCTATCATCTGTCTATCTCCCTATCCATCCACCCACCTGTCTCTCTGTCCATCTGTCTAACATCTATCTATCTATCATTCTATCGGTCTATCTATTATCTATCTATCCATCCACCCATCCCCTTGTTTGTCTGTCCATTGTCTGTCTATCATCTACCTATCTAACATTCTTTCTTTCTATTTTTCAGTCGATATGTGAAAAAGCATGTAGGTCAGCATGAGCATCAGAATCTGTAATACCTTTTACCACGATCTTTCTTGTGGGGAGAACATCCCAAATTATTGCTCATGTAATAAAATTCTGTAATCAACCAAACTCTGGTTAGAGACCTTTAGTGACAGGGGCTGCTCTCTATCTACCTGTCTGTCTATCTATCTACCTGACTATCTATCCACCTACCTACCTATGATTACCTGTTAGTCCGTTGTCTATCTATCTATCTATCTATCTATCTATCTATCTATCTATCTATCTATCATCTATCTACCTATCTACCTATGTCTGTCTGTTCCTCCGTTGTCCATCCATCCAGATATCTATCTATCTATCTATCTATCTATCTATCTATCTATCTATCACATATCTATCTATTGCCTACCTGCCTACCTACCTATTTTTGCAGAGAAATCACTTAATAGTTTTATTGCCACCTTTTCAAATGGGCTCATGACTCTCACTCTTGTGACTCAGGTATAAATGATGCCATGGGATAAAAATTTGAAGTTTTGGGGGCTATGTTTTATCTACCGGGAGGAAATCATTACAGCTTGTTAACATTTAAAACTACTGTTTATACAAAGATGTTGTGAGCTCTTTCGTGAGTGTCTGAGGGGGATCAGCCGGCTGACACACTCTTCGTTCTTCGTTGGTCCTGCCCCTGGCAGGTCCCTTTCTCTGGCTTGTTGCTCTGAAACCTCCACAGTCCCAGTGTCCGCATCTGGGAAGTGGAACCCTGTGTACCGGCCTCATGTGGTCACGTGCCCTGCCCGGAAGTGCTCAGCCAGCAAAGCAGGCGTTTTATGCTAAACGGTGAATTCGTTTTCTCACTCCAACATGGGCGAAAAGTAGAGTGTGCTGCCGAAGAGTTTATAGCTCATCGCTGTGACCACGAGGCTGCGAGGTAGGACTCCAGCCCAGCGGCCAGGAAAGTTACCGAGTTTCCTCGTTTCTGTCTTTATCATGAAGGAGCTGGGCTAGAGGATGACGGAGTAGCATCCAGTTGCCAAGTTCTGTGATTTAGGGTTTTTTAAAATTTTAACAAAATTTAACATAGGAATTATTGTGTGCTTTGGCAATTTATATTTTAACCAAATGTTAACTTCAAATAAAATTGTATCATATAAAGTTTAAAATACAACAGGATATGGAAAATGATATATATACTTGTCATTCGCTTTAAGAAATAAATCTCGCCTGGCCGGTGTAGCTCAGTTGGTTGAGCACCCTCTCAGGAACCAGGAGTCCCGGTTGGGTTCCTGGTCCCGGCACTGCCTGGGCTGTGGGCTCGACCCAGTGGGTGCGTGCAGGAGGCGCCGATCAGTGTTCTCTCCCTTCTCACTCTGAAATCAGTAAAGACATGTAAAAAAAGAAATAAAACTTGACATGTTTTTTTATAGATTTGAAAATGCTTTGGGTGAAATGATCAATTATATTGAAAGGTGCAAAAACAAGACTGGAGTCACTGCTGAAAAAGGAAATGACTCCGCATTCCATTGTTCCTGGAGGAGGGGCGTTCTGCGCCTGTGCCATTCTGACCAATTTCCGGTTGTCAAGTTCTGCGATTTATGATTTTTTTGAATTTATTTTAACACAAAGTTTTAATAAAATTTAACATAGGAAGTATTGTGTGCTTTGGCAAATTAACCAATTTTAATCAAATTAAAATTGTATTATACAGAGTTTACAATACAGAAGGATATCATAGCAGATGGAGGCCCAAGCAGAGAACAGGCGTCTCCTCTGAAACATTCCGTCCAGCTGAAGTGGCACGAGCATAGCTCAGCAGCAACACGTGCCTGGGTCATCCCCGTCCCTGAGTCTGGGTGCACCTCGGCCACAGCAAGAAGCTTTTCATGGCACCCTGGGCCTGGGGGCAGCACCTTTAGGCAGAGCTGGGTTCGAATTCTGGCTCATTTCGCTCCCTAAGTGTGTGACCTTGGGCAAGTTATGTAATGCCCCTGTGCTCAGTTTCTTAAAAAAAAGGGGGGTGGGGGGCTAACCTGCCCTGGCCAATCGGCTCAGTTGGTATCGGGTTTGATTGCAGTCAGGGCACATACCTATGTTAAAGTAAAAAACCATTGAAACCTGTAAAGAATTTTTGTGAGTTTATTTGAGCCAAACTGTTGACATATGCCGGGAAGCAGAACCTCAATGAATTAAGATAAAGCTCCGGAGAATGGCGGGTGACATCTGTATTTATACATTTCAGTCAAAGGAGGGACGTAGGTGGGTCACATGAACTCCATTGGTGATGGATTAGGGGGGCGGGAGAAAGCAAAGGGGGGAAACCTCTGGGATTGGATAAAAAGTGAAATGATGGACATGTGCTTCTTTTACACAGATGGGTACAGGATAGTTTTACATAACTAACAACAACTGATGTTATTGTTATCAAGTTAATTGTTCAATTAACTTGATAACAATAACAATGAGGGAATGTCCTGATGGCATTTGTTGTGCCCTGGGGTCTGGAAAAAAGGGAAGTTACAAGTTATCCAGACATTTCACTGATGTGTTATCTTAGAGGCAAAAAGACAAATGGGCTCACTAAAGGTCTAAGTTGATCTTTGTCAGGGAAAATACCGGCCTAGGCCAGTGATGGCGAACCTATGACACGCATGTCAGAGGTGACACGCGAACTCATTTTTTTGGTTGATTTTTCTTTGTTAAATGGCATTTAAATATATAAAATAAATATCAAAAATATACGTCTTTGTTTTACTATGGTTGCAAAGATCAAAAAATTTCTATATGTGACACGGCACCAGAGTTAAGTTAGGGTTTTTCAAAGTGCTGACACGCCGAGCTCAAAAGGTTCACCATCACTGGCCTAGGATATGACTACCCACTATAACCTGTCTGTAGTTAAATATTTAATTTTTAGACCATCTTTTGTGGTTTTTGAGTTTGCACAACCGCCATGCAGGCCTTCCCTGAACTAGTCAGGTTAGCATGTGGCCCCTTTCATCCACACCTAGATTGTGGGTTTAATCCCCAGTCAGGGTGCATACGGAGGAAGCTGATTGATGTTTCTCTCTACATCGATGTTTCTAAACTCTCTCTTCCTCTTTCTCTAAAAATCCATAAAACATAGCCTTGGGTAAGGATTTAAAAATGTAAAAAAGAATGGGGCTAACGTTGGGGCTGTTGTGAATATTAATTGAGGTGAACCATGCCCGCCACAGAGAAAGCACAGTGAGTATTAGCTATTACTGCCGTCGGGTTCCATTGCTAGTTAATGGGTGTCTACTACGTGGGAGTCTCTGTATGAGACCCTGAAATACTTCGGGGCTCAGCTGTTTGTGTCTGGTCTGCAAACTGTGTAGCTTTCGGTCAGAAGTTGTGGCAATTCAGTCCAGGGGGACCCAGGTTAGTCCAGAAGAAGGCCGTTTGGAGTCAGAGGCCTTTTTGGGTTCCGGAGGGAGCGTGAGATGGAAGGGGCAGTTACTCGCCTGCAGGGGCCCCTGAGCGGCTGGGCTCCCTGGGCCAGGTTTGGAGAGCGCCGTGTGATGCATATTAAAGCCCCTTTGACATTCAGAGTCAACCCCGCCTGAGCAGCTCCCGTCTGTATTATAAAAAGGCCGGTGGTGCATTTCCTCCGTGCAAATTATTTCTGGCTCTTGCTAATGTTCAGGAATACGGTAAGTCTGTGCAGCAGGGTGCACGCGATCACCCGCGCCAGCCCCCGCCTGCTCTTAGTGAGGAGACACCCAGAGGACGCCACGCCTTCCCAGCGCTTTCAGTAGGTAGGGAGTCGGCAATTTCTAGGAAAGGACGAGAGGAGAACTGTGATTGTGCAAGACGCATTTTCACGTAAACTATCATGGAAGCGCGTGGGAGGCCGAGCCTCTGGCCAGAGGTGTCGCTGGATCTTCCTGTGAGCTATTCACACGCAGCCCCGGACGCGGGTTTGAGGTCCTGGGAGGCTGTGTCCAGAGGCCTCAGGCAGGTCTCAGGCGCTGAGCTCCCGGGAGGGGCTGGCAGTGGCCTCGCGGGACTGGCTGTGGCCCGAGGGGTGTGGCTGCTTCTTGGTGACGTTGGGGGAGCCCACTCAGCCAGGTGAAGGGCCCCGCCCCGCCCCTGTGCCGGGGTTCGACGGGTGCTGAACACGTGGTCACTGATCCCGCCCCGGGCCCCTCACCTGCACTGCTTTCACGGGAAAAACTCCGTGCGGAGGAGGGAAGTGGCCGGGCCTCTAGGGCAGGCGGACGGCCCCAGCTCTTCCGAAGACGGAGGATGGAGCAGCTGCACCGGGTCCACCGAGAAGGGAAGGCTATGGAGCCTCCCGTCCGAGCAGCCCGGGCCCCAGGCTGGCGGCCGCTGGACAGCGCTGCTCACCGGACAACGCACAGCAGAGCCCCGCGCGGGCCCAGGCTCGCTTCTGCAGGGAGGGCCTCAGATTAATGTCCGGACAGCACTGGACCTTCCTGGTAACGCACAGAACCGAACAGTACACCGCCCTCCATCACACAAACCAGAACAACGGAACCAAACCCAACTCCAGGGCTCGGCGGGGCCGCACTAGCGTCCCGCCTGCACCTGGGACCTGCCCGTGAGACAAAGGCAGCGCCCGGCCGGGGTCCCGGCGACCCGGCGACCCGGCGCCGGCAGGGGGAGTCCCGGGCCGGGCCGCCGGGGGGCGCTCCTGGTCCGCTGACGCGCGGGGCGGGGCCTCGGCGCGGGGCGGGGCCTCGGCGCAGGTGGGCGGGGCCTCGGCGGCCGGAGGAGGAGCGGCCCGCGCTGAGCCGGCGTCTCCGTGACAGGCGCCCTCGCCGCCGCCGCCTTTTCTTCCCGGTCCCGGCCGCCCGCCCGCCCGCTCCCGCCGCCGCCTGCTCCCGCCCGGCCTCCTCGCGGCAGGAACTGCGGCCCAGCCCGCCCGGTGCCGCGCGGGCCCCGCGCCCAGCCGCCCCTGCGCGGCCCCGCAGCTCCCGCGGGCACCATGCCCAGCAAGACCAAGTACAACCTTGTGGACGACGGGCACGACCTGCGGATCCCCCTGCACAACGAGGACGCCTTCCAGCACGGCATCTGCTTCGAGGCCAAGGTAGGTCCGGGCCGCCGCGACCTGGGGGGGGCGCCGGGGCCTCTGCTAGCGGGGTCCCCTCTCTGTGGAAGCCGCGGCTCCTGCCCAGGATCGGGGAGCCCCGCAAAGTTTGAGCGGTATTGCTGCCCCTCCTTGCAGACCTCCTTTCCCCCTCCCCCCTCCCCCTGCAGACCCCCTCCCCTCCCCTCCCCTTCTCTTCCCTCCCTTCCTCTCCTCTCCCCTCCCCTCCCTCTCTTCCCCCTCCCCCCTCCCCCTGCAGGCCCCCCTCCCCTCCCCTTCTCTTCCCTCCCCCCTCCCCCTCCCCCCTCCGCCCTGCAGACCCCTGTCCTCACTGGCCCATAACTGATGAAGTTACTTCCCAGACCCTCACCCTGAGGAGGGCCACCTGGTGGGTGAGCACAGCCTGGACCCCTTCCTCGTCCTCTGGCGTTGGTGTAGGGAAGCCCTGGTGTTACTCACCTGCGGATCCCCGGGGAGGGCTTTCAGGAAGGTCTTCCTCAGGGGTCACCTGCGCCTCATGAGGACAGTGACACCCGTGGGGCAGGTCAGGCCCCAGGCCCAGCTTTCAGGCACCTCCCAGGTGCCTGGTTTGCAAGACGCCTTTGCAAGTGCCAGCGCTGAAGGGGCCGGGGGAGGACACCCCTCTGCTAGTTTTGTGGCACAATGTTAAGTGTCACAGCTGGCAGGGACCCACGCGGGCGGAGAAGTTGACTAGCGTTCCCAGGCTGGGCCAGAGCCCCCACCTGCCCTTGGGGAGCGGGGTGGGAGCCTCAGCGCTGGCCCCTCAGCTGTGAATGCCCCTCCCCGCCCCGGCCGCAGTCATGGTGTGCTTCTCAACGAGGAGTCTGGTTTCTGAAATCACAGCTGGGGTTCCTTTGCCCAGCACCTGGGGGCCCCTCCCGGGGAAGCTGGTATTGTCCACGTGGAGGGAGCCACTCGGCATCCCCTTTGCCCGTCAGGACGTGGAGATGCAGGAGTCGCATCTCACGAAGGATCAGACCGTCAGGTGGCTGCCTCCTGCCGTTGGACAGACACCTTGTGAGAGCGGCTCTGGCCTGTGCAGGCAGCTGTGCCGAGGCCTCTTGGAGGCGTGGGGATGGGAATCGGCCCGTTTGCCCCGAGTGACCTTCCCCCAGCGTCGTGGCTGTTGCAGGGACCCCGGCCCGGCCTCCAGCCTGCGCGGAAGGCAGAGCCGCATCCCTGTGGGGCTGGGCCAGAGCGGCCGCAGCCGAGATCTGATCTTGCTTCTCTCGTGTAGGTCTGGTCGGTCTAAGATGGGATGTGTGGGTTGATTTTTGTCCAGGCCTTTGCCTTGGTGAGCAGGTTTTTTAAATTTTAAAGTATGAGTTTCCAACAATGTCTTGACTTACTTTTCTTGGACATACGTGAACTGGGGGCTTGGCGTTTGTCTTGTTTGGTTCACTAGTGCTCCATTTTGCACGAATGGGATAAGAAGAGAGATAAAGTTTAAAATGTTTTTAAGCCTTTTTGTTCTTTTCTCACAGTCTCTGCATTTGATCTCAAAACCTCACATGCATAAGAATCACCAGACGAAGGTCTGTCTCTTGGCACCCCCAGTTCTAATTTGGTGAATCTGGGGGAGCCAGGACGGTGGGCGGTTAATGAGCACACCACTCGATTTGCTGCAGGTGGCTGAGACCAGACGGGGAAGCACTGGGCTTGAGGCTTGGTTCCAACTTGTTGGGCCTTGCCCTCCCTCCCCTGGCGCCTTTTCTGGGGGTGTCTGGGGGTGTGCTGTAGTTCCTGTGGTGACTTCCTGGGCTCCCTCCCAGTGGAGCTCCATCAGGATGTCAGGGCTGGGCTCCCACACAGCCCCGGCGGGGGGCGCAGCTCTGCTTTCAGCAGGACGGGGTGGAGGGGAAGGACAGGCTGACTTTGAGGGCTGGGTCCTAATTCCCAGCTTCAATCCTTGATCCTGGACCCTGCGTATTCAAACTGTCAGCCAAGACCCAGCAGAAGCTGCTGTGTCCCGTGCCCCTGGCGAGCGGCCCGGGCTGTCCCCACCCTCCCCAGGGCGTCTGTGGAACCACAGTCACCCCGACTTCAGGGTTAAGAGCCTCGCTTGCTTTGGAAAAGCACCGGCTGTAAAATGGAAATGCGTTGCTGCTGCCAGGCCAGGTCCCCTTGGCGAGTGCCAGGCCCTCCCCCCAGGGCTGGCAGGCTGGCAGCAGCAAGCGGAGGCGTGACTGGCGGTGCTGCTGGCTTCCAGGCTCCGAGGGGTTGGAGGGCTGTGGCCGGGTGAAGGGCGTGGGGTCAGGTTCTGCGCAGGTCACTAAACCCTGTGTTTAATGAAGCAGAATCCCAGGTGCTTTGCACCTGCAGAGCTTCACGCAGTCCTCGCTGCTTCCCTAGCGGTGGGGTCCTCTTGTCTTGGAAGCCAGGCTGCGGGCTCGGGCGTGCTTCCCCCACGTGCACGGCCACCCCGGAATCGAAACCTGGAGCTTTGACTTTGGACTCCCCGCCCATGGCTCACTGAGATGGGCTGGGCGCTGAGTGCGGGGCTGGTCCCAGCGCCCCCTTGGCTGGGAGCTGCCCCTGAGGGACGCTGCCTGGGCTCCCTGACCTGGTGGGGGTGTGGCCCTCGGTGCCTGCCTCTGCCTCTCCCAGGGCCCCTTCCTGGTGGCCATGCCAATCAGCCGACTCTCACCTCGGGGAGGACGCCTAACGGCGCCGCCACCAGGCTCAGCAGAGTGTCAGCAACAGCTGTGCCTCCATCGGAGGGGGGCTTGGGTTTGCATGGGACTTTCACACAGGAAGACTTTTCGTCAGTGGAAACAGGACTATTCCTGTTATCTGCCTTTTTTAGATGAAAAAAAAGGGGATGGGAAAGATGGACTTGGCCAGAGCCACAGACCTGATGCCCAAGTGATGGTCACAGCTGGTTCGTGGCGAGCCTGTGCTGCTCCGGCGTGGCCTCGGTGCTCCTCACGCGCAGCACCCGCCCTGGCCTGGGCCCTCTGGCCGACCTCGCGCTCACAGCGCTCCCGGCCAGCCCAGCACGGGCGCCGCACGCAGGGACAGGCCGCAGGGTGCAGGTTGTCAGGGGAAAGCACCGTAGCTCACCTCGCACAGCCTCCTCATGGCACCATGAGGAGGGTGAGGTCCCCAGGGAGGTCATGGGCACAGGGTCACATGGCTGGACCAGCACAGGGCAGGGCTCCTCCTGGCTCCCTGGATTCAGGCGGGCTGTTATCTACGGCTGCTTCACAAGCTGCCTCCAGACCCAGGGGCCCCGAACGGCATCTGTTCAATTTGCCTGCGACTCGTGGTCGGGAGTTCAGGCAGGGCGGGGCTGGCCTTCAGTCTCAGGCACTGCTGGCGAGGTCAGCGACTAGCCGCCCTCGGCTGTGGCGGGGCTGGTCCACGTGCTGCCCAAGGACCCCGTGCCACGGGGTCCTTGGGCTTCCTCACGGCACAGGGCCCTTTCACTTGGCAGCTGGCTTTCAGAGGGAGTGTTTGGAGCAGCGATGACCTCCAGGCGACCCAGGGTCCTGTTGGTCACAGCAGGCCATTGGCCAGCCCAGGTTCCAGGGCAGGAGAAGTGGACGCCACGTCTTGATGGGGAGTGTCAGGCTCCCACTGCGAGAGAGCGCGCGGGTGAGTGGCAGCGCGAAGCGGGCTGTAGGTCACCGAGTGCCACCAGGTTATGCTCTTCCCTCTGGGTCACTGCGGCCCTGTAGGACCTGTCTCAGCTTCTGAGCGTGGCCTCCCATCAGGTCCAGGCAGCCCGCAGCCTGAGAGCAGCAGGTGTTGGCCGTCTGAAAGTACCCACAGCCACTGAGAGGTGTGTCACACTGTTGGGGACCTTCTGAAGGCCTCCACTTTACCTTATACACTTCTGCTGTTAATTTCCCTGAAATATACTTGTCATTCTCCTACTCAAAACACCAGAAGATCCAAATTCTTAGTGTGAGATTCAGGGTCTCTGTTTGAACACTCCCCCTAACCACTGGTGCTTCAGTCCCAGGGAGGGCTCAGCGCCCCCTCCCGCCATCTCCCACTGCTGCCCAGGCCGTCCACATGTCACAGGAAGGTGATGTCTCCAGTCCCTCCTCTGTGTCGAAGGGACCGACAGACCTGCTATGGCTTAGAGCTGCCTGCCCGTCTGATTTCACCCCCATTGTCACGTCAGGGTCCCTGTCACTTTGCCCCCTCTCTTCTGTGGTGCAGAGTGCTGTTCTTGCATATAGAAAATGTGAATGAATGAATGAATGTAACTTCCAAGATTCTCCCTACAAGGACTGCCAGCGCCCTCCTGTTTTGCCCGAGTGGGAGGTGCCTCAGCTCCAGGCTCCTCCCTGCGCCTCCCTGGCTTTAGGCCTGCACTGCTCAGGCCCCGGGGACCTGAGGGACTCCCCTGGGATCCGGGAGGCACCCACTCCCACCTCAATGACACCTACTTCCGAAGGCAGAGCCAGGAAGCTTTTTCTTGAATTAAATGGAATTCTAGTGTTGGACATGCAATGCAATTAGAACCTTTGGTTAATGGAACGTGTGGCCAATTTCAGGAGTAGATAGTTGCCATTTATTAGTAAAAACATTTTTGACCTGTTGTGTTCTCATTAATGAATTGACACCTTTCGCCCCCTAATTTATTGCTTCATTTCTTTTGATTTGCTGTGTTATAGTTTTTATGGCATGAATATGGTTGACAGCACAGCATAGCATGGATCCGGGAGCTAAACTGTGTCTGAGTTCAAGTCCCACTGTGCCCATTTGCTGCATGGCCTTAGCGAGTGACTTAACGCTCTCGTTAGCATCCCGCCTGTGACAGAGGACACGCCTGTCCCAGCCGCGGCGGGCGAGGGAGTCACGCGTGAGAGTGCGCAGCACAGTGCCTGGCCCAGAGCCGGCTGTGCACGTCGTTACTGTTAGTCCCGTGAATCGTGGTTTAAGTGTCCATCTTGGAGCCATGACGCTCTGCTCTGTGTCAGAGGCCCACTAGTGTACGTAGGTCCTCGGTGACGCCGGAGGCCCGT